GTAGGGACAGCCCATTCTTCTTTTTATTTTCTTATGATGAGTTAAACAATGTTTCCTTGTATTTGCATATGTAGGTGGTGGCTTCTTGTCCTTTCCCACAGAACAAATTTATTCTAAATGCTTGAAGACTGTGCTCACAGGCCTTGAATGCCAACTCCTGGAGCTATCCCTTATGTAAGGTGATTTCAAGCTCCTTCTATTTCCTAGTTGAGTCTTGAGAGGACAAATGCGAGACGGAAGAAAATCAGAGCTGTTGTTCACTGGCATTTACAGCTGAACACTGGAAAGGACAATCAAACCCTCATAATCCTGTATTCTGGATGAATTACTCATAGAAAATCAGCCCAGAAGAGGTCTGGTCAATTTGGTAAACATGAATGGAATTCCCAGCCTGACTGTAAGACAATGTCAGAAGGAATAGAACCAGGAGATGGTATTTCTGCTGAATCTAAAGGCTCAGTGATAGTGTTTGTCTCACAGTACAATTGCTCACTCACACATCTCTGGAGCCAACAATCCTTTATTCGGTACCAAGTGCTAGGAATAGAAGGGTCAACAACTCAGATGTTCTCAACTATTCCCATGGAGTCCGCTGATAGCAGTTGTATTTACTTAATTATCACAGAGATTTCACCTTGATGCCAAGTCAGGAGGATGTAGAGATGGCCTTTTTTGATAATACCCAGACATGGTCTTCTAAGTACTGATGTGTTTCAGATGTTAATGTCCTCCAGAAGAATACCTGCATCCACACAGCTTTGAGCTTCCCCAACCCATGCCTTCTATCCCATTAACTTCTGGGTAAGTCTTGTACAGATAATCTCTTAATTCCCTAAACTCCTCTGCTTCTGAAACTCCCCCTTCCCTCTCTTCTGGTCTGCTGGCTGGGCGTCCTCTAAAATGCTGAGCACTCTCTTCCACTGTCTGAGGAACTTCCCATACTTGAACTTCCTAACACTGTCGCTTCCCCCAGCCCTTCCTCATTAAAGACTTGGTTCCATGATTTATTTCTCTTTCCCTTTCTGGCCACCCATCTCTTGTTCTTCTCCAAGTCTCCTAACCCCTGGAGTAGGTCCCCCTGCTTGAAGCCCAGGATTTCTGTGCCTTGTACACTGGTTTTCTTTTTTTACAATTTATTTTAAAAATAAAAGAAGAAAAACATTAACAGACATCCATTTTTCAAAATATCATAAGAACAATACAAACAATATAGAGTTACAGACAAAGTGGTAGGAAATTAACAATGGCTGTTATATTACATATTGATATCTTCAAAGTGGTTTCTCAGGAAAACAAATAGAGACATGAAAGATTGATCAAATAAGTAATCATTAACTGTTCCTTTCAGGAAAGCAATAGAATTCAGTAGTACAACTATGTTAGCTATCCTGTGTATACATAGATACATAATTTCCCCTTCTTTCTCTTTTCCCCCATCCCAGTTGCTCTTTTCTTTTGAGCATTTTCTTTTCATTTCACAATATCTGTCATACCTCCTAATTTTTATTTACTCTTTCAGATTTTTACATTAGTGAGACAATATGTTGCTTATGCAGGGAGGTCTGGTTTATTTCACTTATGAGTATGATCTCTAGTTGTGACCATTTATCTATAAAAGCCTTGAGTTTATCTTTTTTATAGCTGAGTAATATTCCATTATATAAAAGTACCACAATTTTTTTTTATCCAGT